GCCCTTAAGGAAACCAACATGTTTTTTGAGCCAGTGGAATGAACTACCGGTCGCATATGTACGAGAACATGACCCAATGTAAATACCGAGAGGTTATCGAACAACTTGCGCACGTCGGTCAACTAGCCAAGAGACTCCGCGACTTCGAAGACACTAACTGGAAATTCACGCATTCTCAGTAGATCGCAAAGACTAGAAGGTGCGGTATTGTTTGACGTCAAAACAGTCGATTTCCATATCTAGAGAAATAGTTGGGCAGCGGTGCGTGCCGGAGCGGAGATCATCCAAGAGGAAATCTTAATGCAGTTTATAGATACCTGCCTAAGTACGTAAATCGTGTTAAATAGCTAAGGATGCCAACAAATTACGCGATCTACTGCTATTTCATCCGTACCGTTTTAGGAACTGGGAGCTTGATCGTTTCTGAAGGTGCTGCTTAAATTGCAAATGCAATAAGGGGCATATCTGAGGAGATGTTAACCGAAATTCCGAAGTGTGCTTTCTGTCAAGACGGGTTATGTATGTGGAGTAATAACATTTACTATTGTGGTGCATAAGCTGACAATATTTCAGTCGTAACAAAGTGCCTGCCCTTGAGTGCCCTTCAATTCGACCGCATATGAAAATCACACTTGGTAAAAAGCGGCTACTTTACCAGTGTGTTTTCATGAATCATGGCTTGCATTTATCCAAGATTTGTATGAACCCTGCATGATATATTCACAATAAAGTAGAGTACTGCATTATACTTCTTTTATGGAACGTATGCAGGTTGTAGTTTAAAAACCCTAAACGCTAGTCCAGCGACGGGCCAAGTTCGAAAATAAAAACACTTAAGGGGGAAGACTACGCTGTCCTCGATGATAGTCTTTTTAGGGGACCAATGTGGAACTAAATGAGTGCAAGACTTATACTTCGCGCATGTTTTCGGTGAAAAGTGTTTGCACTTATAAGGCCGTCAAATGTTTATAGACAGAACCCATTTTTTTCTACCGAGTTTCTTTGCATGTAACCGAAGGAAATGCATTCAAAAGGCGGCATCCCGTGGCAACTGAAACATATAGGGATTCTGCGTCTCGAAAATGTCACACATCTACGTAAGTTATCTTTCCTAATCGAATAAGCATCTCAGAATTTTGGCTAATGTTCCCTGGGATACACGGCTACAATCACGGTGGAGGGAGAAGAAGAGGGGAGATAGCAACGAGGCTAGCACATCCAATACTCATGTCTTTCAAAAAAGCCTTAACTACGACAACAGCGGAGCCCTGACAGGTGGGCGCTGTTGTATCTGCTGACAAAGTGGGGATGGAGAACTGACAGCGTCGACAGCCCTGCATTTCCCCTTCCGACGGGTACCCTCGCATTTTATCCAACTGGTGGCAGTAAAACACGTCCTAGTAAAAAAACTACATGTGAAGTACAAAACATCAGGCGCATACTAGCCGATCT